GTGCAGATTTGATCTAGCGTGATCTTTCCCTGTTCTCCTCTTGAGTGCTTTCAGATGAAAGCAAAAGCATAAACTAAAACTGCTATTCACATCAAATGCCTTATGTATTGATATATCTCCTTACTTTACCCTTCTTCTGCAACTTAAAAAAAAACAAAGCTGAGAGGTTTAGATTGTTCTATATGCATGATATTAAATGACTTTATTATTATTATTTTTTGTTACTTTTATTGCAATTAACACACTCGCCCTGTCCCACCCCAGACCTATGTAAGTCATCTTGCATTTTATACAGGTGATTCCTGACAAACATGGTGGAGGACAACACAGACTCACTGCACGATGCCTATAATAAGCATTCATTAATTTTCTTTTCGGCTCAGTACCTTTATTAATCTGGGGTTGTCACAGCGCAATGAACCGCCAACTTATCCAGCACATTTTTTACGCAGCGGATGCCCTTCCAGCTGCAACCCATCTCTGGGAAACATCCATACACACTTATTAACACATACACTACGGACAATTTAGCTAACCCAATTCACCTATACCACCTGTCTTTGGACTGTGGGGGAAACCAGAGCACCCGGAGGTAACCAACGCGAATGCAGAGAGAACATGCAAACTCCACACAAACACCAACTTTCCCAGCCGAGGCTCGAACCAGCGACCTTCTTGCTGTGAGGCGACAGCACTACTTACTGCGCCACCGTGCACCCTTATAATAAGCAGTTATATGACATTTAAAGTCAATATACCAAGACAAATAAACGACCCTGTATGAGGTTTTTTAACAACCAATATTACAAGGGTGCGGTTTTGGTTCCAACTCCAAATATTAATATTGGAGAAATCCAGATATTAATCACAAGGGGCAGCCATTGGAATTATTTTGGTCCAAGACTTCTATTAACTTCTATTGATTTTTCGATGTTAAAAACAGCTTACTATGCTGCTCGATGATGCAAACTGATATGTTATTATTATATTATACTACTTTTTTTGAATAGTCAAGAACATGCAAGTTTGTGGAGCAAGTAGATTGACAGTTTCTGACATTTAGTATTCCTAGTCATTTGTCCTATAGGCAACTGAATCAGAAGTGCTACAACATTCCCACTCAGACTGCATTGCAGAATAAGGTCAATACAATATTTTAGTAAATAATAATGTTAATATTGTGTTATATTTGTTGACACAATATTGCTTGTCATTTTTTTCCTAAGGGGAATATTAAGCAAAAGATGAACAACTATTATTCATTTCTGAATTAATTCACCTTAATTCTGCATAATTTGAAGTGAACTAATGAATCAGTTGATCATTTGAAAGAGACTCATTTGGAGTGTTTAAAAAGCATATTTCCTTATCAATAAAAATGACTACTTCATCAATGAATACAATTCATTTTTGCTTGTGTTGAATCAAATGATTATCAGCTAAAATCCAGTTTATTTGATTCAACATGTATAATGACTTACAGCTCTAATGCATTGAATTTTTACTAAACCATACAGTATGCTTCACACAGCAAAGTGGGCTTGGTAAACCACCTGTAGAAACACTCTTCACTTCCCTCTCAAAAATAGAAACCCCCCTTACTCAAGCATTTAATTCTCTGAGCAGTAAGAGTTCTGTTGTATAATTAGCACTTCCTATGTGTACTGCTGCTTCATGTTGATTTGCAGAACGAAGCATCTGCCAAATGACTTGTAAATGTAAACCACAGTCAACTTGTCTATAGTAGCCTAAGTTCTACCAATGCCTTTATTCAGGTTATAAATTTCTATATTTATTTGTATTTGTTTTCCATTAAAGGTGTCTACCATTTATGGAATTGCTATCTGAAGCCTATGCTTTTTTCAGCACTTGCCCTTCAAACTCAAGTTGAAGGAATGTATATCTCCCAGCATGTCCACAGTGGTCTTTAAAGTATCAAAGTAAAGCTCAACATTCAGATATTTTTACCGCCATTTTCCATCATTGAGCATGTCATGAATGGATCAAGCAAATAATAAGTGGTGCATATGGTGCATTATATAGATCATTTTGAGGGACGTAAACAATAACAATGGTCCCAACGTATTTTTAATTTCTATAGATTCTGGGAATCCAAAAAGAGCCACACATTGATAAATAATGTTATGATAGCTGTTTTAGCATTAAGTTATGATTGATTGCCTCGTGTTACATTTATGAAATAATTTGATAACAAGCAGGAAATGATCATGGGCCAATGACATGACCACATTGAAATGGTCTATAGTGCATATGTGTGTGTGTGGTTACTAAATTTGCTCAGATGCAAAAAATTGAAACTCCTTTAAGAATTATTCCAATCATCATCTTTGTCAATCATCATTATTCATCAAAAATTCTTAAAAAGTGGTGCAGCAATAACACACTTCCCCTTAAAGAAACACATATATCATCAGACTTTCAGGCAAGCATAATTCTGGCCGAACAATAACGAAATATCAAAGCTTGTTAGTGGCATTTCCCACATGCTGCAGGCCGATTCAGTCTAAATTTTAACATAATTCAAGGTGAAATGTTGCTGCACATTTTATGATTCACTCTCGCTGTGAAACACAAAGGCATCCAACATCTCACCAAAAACCATCTCCAAAAATCTGTCAAATGCCTTCAACAACAGAATATCAAGCCAAATGCTCCTTTTGTGTCTTTATCGTGAGAGGCAGCGCAGGAGTCGACAGATTCACATATGCCAGTGTTCATTAAATCAAAAAGCAGGTATTAGGAGCGAGCTTGAGTTAGTGTGCTGGCTTAAAGGATAAAGGCATACATTTACTGAGTGTTTTGGAGTATTTGGATTTGATTTTCTTCGGGGATAACATTATCCTTGTCAGATTTATTTCTCTGATCAGTCAGCACTATTGGACCCCCAACACACATTTTATCTCTTGTTTTCCCCTCATTTTTAATCCTTTATTCCTCTCCCTCTCCTTTTTTCCCACCCCTCCCATTCTTTCTTTTTCTTTTTTATTTCTCTCTCTCTCTTTTTCAGTGTCATATTGCAGTCCGAAGATGTTGTTGGCTTGCAGTGAGCTGAAAGTGTTGCGCCTCTGAACCGCTACTTCCTGCTGCAGTACCATTTACAGCAGCTCATTTTTCAGCTCATTCATCACAGTAACATGATGAACACAGCCACACCACACAGACAATGGAACTGGGTATGTAGACAGGAAAACGACAATTAAATGAGACAATGAAAAACGAGAAGATCAGGAAGGGTATGCAAGTGAGGGATGTAGACAGTCAAACAGTCCAAAGGGTCAGTGTTCGGCTAGTTAGCCTCAGTCCCTGCTGTTACTGTTGGATGTCAAACAATCACCATCTGGCTGTTTAGAGTCTCTTAAAATGAATGCTTAGGATTACATTAATTAAAAAAAAAAAGTGTGTAGGGGAGAGTGGGGCACAATGTAACACTAATTGGTTTTGGCCAAATATTTAACAATAATGGGGTTAGACAAACTATATTGTTTTACCAGTAACATACAAGCCTCTCCTACAAATGATCACTGGTTGTATGATTGCTGAACCTATGGTTGCTGTGCAGTATTGCCAAAAGTGCCAGCAGTAAAAACTGTACTATTTACCCCAACTGTGGGGTAAGTTGTAACAGACAGAGGGTTACTTGTAACACATGCTTAAAAAGGCAGATTTCACACAATTCATTTAAATCCCGTTTACTTTAGCTATATTTCATCAGTAATTAACTCATTTCTTAATTCTACATAGCACAGAATGTTTATTTCTTCATCTATTGGATAAACACATTTGGAAATTTTGCATTATTATCCATTATTATACAATGCATTTTTTGCAGTATTAACAATAAACTTTTTTTTTTTATTATTAAAAAATATGTTCTATTAAAAAACGTTTTATATAAAAAGTTCCCAACATTTCACTCAATATACAAAAATGTATTTGGTTAGTTTAGTTGGTGTCCAACAGTGTGTGACTTATTTGTAACATCCTGTTACAACTAACCCTTTCCTCAAAACTGGCTAACAGTCACCATCTTTCAATATGGTTAAATCATTTAGCCTAGAAGACACTAATAATAAAAATATAAGCGTTTACTAACGAAATTAGTTTTTTTTTCAATAAAAAATTGTCGACTATAATAAAAAAAAAAATACTTTTTTGCTGCATAAATGGTTTCTCCTGTGTTTTTCATCCAAATTTCGCTGAACTTTTTCAATAATTGTTAGGAAGATGTCTCCCGACACTGTGGTGAAAACCTTGCATGCTTGCCATAGTTAACCCTGAGCACATTACCTTGCACTCCCCTATATACAGTACTAAGAAGGCTAGAACAAAAGGAGTTTTTTTATTTTATTTTTTATTTCAAGGTCAAAATTATTAATCCCTTTTTATACATAACAAACCATCATTATACAATAACTACATATAATAAAGAAAAATAGTTAATAAGTATGCAAATAAACAAATACATGTTAAGCTGAAACTAAGTTTTATAGGCCAAGATTTAATTCTGGCTATTGTTGTTGTTGTGTTTGCTTTAGAGAATCTCTAGAAAAAAAAAGTCCAAACACAAATATTAACAAAAATAATGTTTCCAATTAGATTTTTTTTGATTTTGATACCAGCCAATGTACAAGTGATTTTGCAAAAAAATATTTTAAACGATTGTTTCATAAGTAAAAAAATAAATAAATAATATCTAAGCATATAAATAAACATACCAAATCTAAAAATGATCTTACCAAATCTATATTTAATAAGTAATCATACTTATTAAGCCAAATTCCTCAGCACGTGATTACCTTCAATGCACATGTGTTTTAAAATTGTACTTTAGAGATTCATGCTTTAGTGAAAATAAGCATGTGGGTATGTAAATAAACCAAATAAATCTAAATTATTAACAAGTACACAGCTACATGTTAAAGATGCACGTGTATGATCTTAATCTACAGCAAAGCTAAGAGTGAATGTTAAAATCTCACCACATTGGCCAGGGGGAGACACTCCAGAAGATGCTCGTGGAAGACTCATCAGCAATGTTTGCACGGCAGCACTATTCCCAGAACATGGCTCCACGGCTATGGGACCAGCCTGAGAGAAAAGAAGAGCAAATAACTCACTGTGAGACAGGGGATTCTTGCTATGCACGACACTAACACAAGTGTGTGAATAATGCAAACATTTCTTAGCTGCACAATTTTTCTTAATGATGATAAAAATGAAAAAAAAAAAAAAGTATCAGACATAAAAAGTGTTCATCAGCACAGAATCTATGATGTTCAAGACAAGCCCTACAGGTATCCATGGCAGACAAAAAAGAACATTTGGGGAATTGTTGAAAAGTTGAACAGTTAAAGTTGTTCAAAATTCACCTTTGCCATTACAAAAAAAAATAAAATATAAATAAATAAATAATAATAATAATAATAATAATAAATAAAACAAATAAATAAAGCCATTTTGATTTACAAACTGTAAACATATTTTATAATATTGATCAAAGAAAATTTGCCTTAGTAAGATGCTTCTTTTGAAAGCATAACATCTTTTGAATTGAAGTGTTTTATATGTACTGTAGATGACAACATACAAAGTAAAATAGGAAACTGATGATAATACAAGATGTATTTGAAACTTTTTTCTGCTTCCACTTTTGAAAACTTTCATTAAATACAAAATATAAGGCCATTCATACATCAGTCAAGTCTTTTGAGCATTTTTATTTTAAAATGGTAGATGTGTCTCATTCAAGAAGCAGGTTTCGCTTAACAGCTTTCTGTTTAAAAAGGTGAAAGAGATTTATAAAAGTGCCTTACGCTTTTTGCCATTTCACACTCTTTTAGTACAGACCTGAAAGAACAGGCTATGACCTGTACTTCACAAGAACAAAATGTCACTGAATTAAACTGCCATCAGTAATAGTCTAAAGGAAACGTTGATGACCAAAATGTGATCTGAAATGAATGTAGTGCTGCTCCCTCCACTTACTTAAATTGTCTTACAACTCATGCAACCAACCAAACACAGTTTAGAATGCATAAGGTAAGGTAGCTTGATATGCTATAACCATTCATTTATTAAATATGACTACTAAATATTTATAACAAGACATCGTATGTAAATTGCCCATTGGAATAACTCAGAATAAGCATCTTTGCATCACTGCCTAATTCATGAGACATATGGATAATCGATTTGTTACACTAGAAGTACAACAGATTGAGAAGTACCTCATTTTTGTTATCATGCCCATGAGTCTCATTTATAAAACTTTACGTAGATATCTTCCTAAAGATGAATGTATGTCAGAATACTGTACATTTAATTATTAAATGTAATATTTAACTTAAAGTGGTTCAATTAAGTAAACATTTAAGTTAGACATGTTCACTTAGAGTTTACATACAGCATTTAATTTTATAGATCACAACTTTTGCAAGGGAAGCGATATTTTGAATCAGACCCCAGGACTGCTAGATGGTGATAATATGATAGTCACTCATATATGGAGCACTTGTGAGTCCTCTCTGCTGAGTCTTAATGCCGGAGGAACTCTAACTAGAATTCACTGGCTGGGAAACTCACTGGGAAAACAGGAATATGCTCTCATCTCCGCCTGGAGGGCAATGGAAATTCAAGGAAGGCACAGAGCCAGATTTTTTTTTTTCTAGGAAATAACCTGTTCATACCAAGCATTCAGGATGAGTCTGGCTAAAGTTGGAGACTGTAAAATAATATTGTGAAGTAGTTGCTCAACCTGCAATTCTATAAATGTCTTATAGAAAGGTGCTGTGTGCCAAAGCCCAACAGGAGACAGCAATCAGAGTGGATTGAGACCTCAGTATCATGAAGAACAGCTCATCTTGTGTCTTATAAACCAATGTGATAGCATCTACTTTAGAGCACACCTACAGTAATTCATTTCTTTTGACCTTCAATGTAAAGACAGAGCTGCTTGGATTCTTTAAAGAGCATCTAAAGCTCTGAGTATTGCCTATGAAAGTGTGCAGGATATGGACAAGTCACCTTTAGTCATTTAGTAGATGCATTTATTCAATGTGACTTACAGTGTGGAAGGGATCAAGCGATTCATTGTGCTAATAATAATTAAAAATTAATAAAAAATTATGTCAAAATAAAATAAAAATTATGTTCGAAAAATACAAGCTGGAGTAGGTAAGGAGTACATAAAAAAAAAAAAAAACTTTTCATTTAGATGCATTTTGAACAGGGCTACAGATTCAGCAGTCTGTATGGAATTGGAGAGATTGTTTCACCAGCAAGGAACAGTAAACTAAAAGGTTCTGGAAAGTGATTTAGAGCCTCTTTGAGATGGCACTACTGTACAAGGCAGTGCTCACTTTCTGTCTGAAGGCTTAGGGAGGGGATGCTGCTTTATAAAAATAAGTGAAAGCAAGAGGATGTAGAGCCCATTCTGTATGCACAACAACACTAAACCTAAGATTGCCTCTTTGGGGATAGTGCTTTTGCAAGTTCACCATCTTATCCTGGAAGGGAGTGGTAGAAACTTTGAGCACATACTTAGGCCAGGGTCTCAAGATCATGCATTTAGGTAGTTGCTCAAGTTAAATTCTGGGCACATATCACATACCAAAAATTGGTATGTTTCATAGTTTCAGACTATCTGTGATCATGGTCAGAAAACATGACCTTAAGCTAGACTAAACTAAAAAAAGGGGCTCCTGCAGTCCCACCAAGACAATAGAAAGACACAATAAGGGGATAAGAGACAGCTGATAGGTGGAAAGGAGCAGCCTCCGATCCAACATTTCTAGAAATGGAAAGCATGACACCGATGCACTATTACCAAAAGTGTTCTCTGTGATTAAGCCACCACTAAGCAAACTATTTAGGCAGAGGGAGATGTATGTTGGAGTGGAGGCTGTTCCCCTCCATTGTAAAAATGTACTGAATATTGCTGCATACCATGATGCAGTGGATGGAAGATCCCTGGAAATGCATGACCTGATCATCATTTTGAAGATGGTAAGAGGCACTAAACTGCTAAAGCTAATAGCAAGTATGGGCGTCTTTTTAAAGGTCCCTTTGAAATGGCATGAGGCAAAACTCTGGTAACACTTTAGAATGACTATCCGTTATAACTAGTTAATAGACCATTAATAAACTGTTAGTTAACAAATTTTAAATGACTTGTTAAATAAAAGTTAATAGTTTGTTAATTATTTACAACTGTGCCTTATAGATGGGCAATGGATAACTTACAAGTCGTTAGTTGACAAGTTGTAAATGACTTCTTAACTGTATTTTAATGATTTATAACTTTACCTCATAAATTATTAAAAGATCATGAACAAGCTGTTAGTAAATTACTTAATAAAGACTTGTTAAGTATCAGTTATGGTGTGTATATGTTATTGGGACGTTATTCTAAAGTTGCAGCTATTTTTCATTTATTAATTTTTAGTAAATGAGGAATAGTTGCAACTTTAGAATAACGTCCCAATAACATGCTTAAGCTAATAACTAACACTTAACTATCATATTTACTCACACTTTACAGACGAGAGTTGTTCATCATTTGTTAACCATCTACTAATACCAGTGAATCTTTGTAGAACTGCAAATGGATGGAATAAGTTCAAGCTACAGAAATTTGATCTAATATTTAAAATATAAAATGTTTGTTTCGAAACTTTGTTCCACTTTAGGCTTTTCTGTGTGCTGTTTTACCAAAGAAACTCCACAGATTAAATCTTAAACGTTGTGTTTAATGTATAGAAACACACATACTGAACCATCACAAGGCAGTACAGCAGTATGCAAGAATACAAACTCATAAAGTGCTAAACATGAAAACAAAATAAATAAAAATTTAAAATTACACCAGTGGTCTAATAAAAAAGTTTCACTGGTGTTATTAGATGGTGAACAACTGATCTGTAAAGTGTGAGTAAATATAATAGTTAAGTGTTAGTTATTAGCTTAAGCATGTTATTGGGACGTTATTCTAAAGTTTAAACTATTTCTCATTTACTAACAGTTAATAAATGAAGAATAGCTGCAACTTTAGAATAACGTCCCAATAACATATATACGCTATTAACTGATACTTAACAAGCCTTTATTAAGTTATTTACTAACAGCTTGTTCATGATCTATCACTAATTGATTAGGTATAGTTATAAATCATTAAAATACAGTTAAGAAGTCATTTACAATTTATTAACTAACAGCTTGTAAGTTATCTATTAGCCATCTATAAGGCACAGTTATAAATAATTAACAAACAGTTAGTTAAAAAGCAGTTTTCAGGCATGATGTATCATGCGGATTCCAAACATTTATTGTTTCCCTTAGAAACATCACCACACACCTTTCATTAGGATCAATGCGTTTTCTTTCATATAATATTCACTCTTGTCACTGATGATAAATATTACCTTACAGTGCAATTTCCTTTGATTCGTACTCTGGATCATTTAACAACTTAAAACTATCTCTTTTTTTAAGCATGCAACATGACAAAAGATCTAATTAATTTCTGTTTGAGCCCACAACAAAACCATGTCAGAATTCCATCACCTATTTAGGCGACATAAATTCAATAGTTAAATAAAGGCTTATGATTGATGGAGTGTAAATGAGGGCAGTACAATCCCTAAACTACACAGAAAATCACCAGCAGGTGGTGAAAGTGGATTTCTCCTTCATTTGCATTTTAAGGGCTGTTTATAGCGTATAAACAAAATGAGCAGAGCTTTAAAAATTTATAGATACAGTTGGCCCACTATTGGGTGTTTTTTTTTTTATAGAAGCTTCATTACACATTAAACGTGAATGACAAAAACCTAAACATAAGACTTCTATTATCTTTTGTCTGTTTTGTAATTTCCCTTTACAGGTGCAAATTAATATAGTTAATTCCATCTTATGACATATATGTTAGCTAAAGGGCTTTCTCAACTATTTTTCATCTACTTCACTCGAATCTTCACTTGAGGCAGACAATAGAACTGGGTAAGTTATGAAATTTGGCATATAGATAGACTTCAGTTTAATCATTATGAACAGCAAATTATGTAGCTAAATTCATTGAGTGCCATTGCCTG